ATTTTATTTTCTCTTTTCTTCTTTTGATATTTTCTTTCTACATATTTTCTTAAGCATTCCTTTTCTTACAACACTCCTTGTTCTTTTCTCTTTCTTTCTTTTAAATTAGCCTCATTATATTCATTCATTCATAATTCATTTTTTTTCATTTGTTTCTATTTTCTAATCATGTCTTTTTTGTGCATTTTTCTTTCTAACATTTCTTTTTTGTTCGTAAACAATTTAGCTTTGTTTCCAATTCTTCCAAGTCCCTTATGCATTTTATTAATCTCTTCTCTATTTTTATCTTCCATCTTCATTTTTCATCCATATCATTATGTCAGATTTATTCATTCTCTCTTTCTAATTTCTTTTCTATTCTATCATCTTTTAGTATCTGCTCTTCTTTTTTTCCCCTGGCTTTCTTTATATAATTTCTTTTACTCAATTCTTCATTTATTATTTGCGTCATCATCATTATCCCCCTTTATTCCTTCCTTTAATACCACCCTTTCCCCACAGACAGCAAGTATTACTACCTGTGTGCATGCATGTCCCAATTTCTTGAACTGCAATGACAGCTGATAACAGAGGAATCATTCCTCTTATCCTCATGCATTCAACCACAGTTCACTTTATATTAAAATATCTAGGCCAGAAGGTATAGCAAATTTATCGGATGCATATTGCATTACACACAGACACGCAAACATATATATATATATATATAATTGCATACATATTGCATTATATATATATATATATATATATATATATATATATATATTATTGCATACCTATTGCATTATATATGTATATATATATATATATATATATTGCATACATATTCCATTATATATATATATATATATATATATATATATCATTGCATACCTATTGCATATATATATATATATATTAGTGCATACATATTGCATTATATATATATATATTATTGCATACATATTGCATTATATATATATATATATTATTGCATACATATAGCATTATATATATATGCATAGATATTATTGCATACATACTGCATTATATATATATATAAAAAATTGTATACATATTGCATTACATATATATGTAAATAATACCATATATGCATATATTATAAACAAATATTTGTTACATAGCATTCAGAATATCTAGGTTTCTCTAACTTCATTAAAAAAGATTGTTTTTGACTATATTATGACTGCTGTTATATTAGGATACATTTTTAAAACATTGTCAAAATTGGTGCATATTAGATGACTGATTCTAACATTGAATCTAAAAGAAAATAAGCAACATTTTCAGTATATTATGCTTCTTTTTACTTTTTAAAGGAAAGTAAAGATGTGACTAAAACACAAAAAAGGTTCTACAGTTTATACAGAAGACAATCTGAAAGATCAAATGTGTCAAATGTGGTTTAGAAACTTTCATGATGAGAATATGGTGGGTGCAATGGGTAAATCGTTACCATTTTATGTTTTTAATTTTGTGCATGCATATTGTTTGTTTTTGATTTTGTCAATTGTAAAGTATAGTATTGTCAGTTGGACACTGTGAGAAAAAGAGCACCATGGCGCAATTCACTTCAGCAGAAATTTGGAAATGGTATATTGTACTGCTTGGCATTTGTGCCGGGAACTCCAATAAATATCCCGTCAACATCATGATGTCTGGAGTGAGCACTAGTGATGGCGTAGTTAGGCCACTATTCATACTCCCACATGGCCTCAGACTCAACACAAAGGCCTACATCAAGTGCCTTGAGGAGGTAGTGCTGCCCTGGGTCAAGAGGGTGGCTGCTGGAAGACCCTATATCTGGCAACATGACTCTGCACCATGCAACACAAGCAGGAGAACCAAGTCATGGCTGTTAGACAATTTCTGCAATCACATCACCCCTTAACTCTGGCCAACTCCCCAAATTGCAACCCCTTTTGTGGGATGCAGTTGAGCGAGAAACCAACAAAACTCCTTGTAACACCAAAGATGAACTGAAAGCAAGGATTATGGCAGTATTCACCAACTTAATCAGGGAGACTGATCAGAAGAGTTGCAAGAGATTCCAAAGTTGGCTGGAGGCCAGGATTTAAGCCAATGGCAATTTTATTGAATAAATTTACTCTTTAGTATTTCAAGATATTTTTGAGTAATTTTAGTAAATATATCTATTAAAATGAGATGTCAGTGTTATTTTCATTTTTGCATAATTTAGATGACAATTTATCAATTGCACCTTGTGGTGTGTGTGTGTGTGCATATATATATATATATATATATATATATATATAAAATGGTGGATCAATAAATTTATATCTTGATTTGTAGTTATTGATATCTTCAGTTCAATATAATAAAATAGAGGCATTATTTTCAGAGAGAGAGAGAGAGAGAGAGAGAGAGTGTGTGTTTGTTGAGAGTCACAGAAAAGAAATAATTGAAATATAGATTTGATGCAATTTTTTATAAAAGATAAATTTTTGTTTCACCATTTTAAAATATATGTGTATTTCCCTCTAGAATGTGAGTGGCAGTATAAAGAGACACACATGCACATACCTGAACATCATTTGCTCTATTCTTGGACCTACATTGGTCCTAATTTATCAATGACCTTCCTGATGGCTTCAGTTCTAAACTCAGTATCTATACTGATGACATAGCTATTTACTCCTGTCTTTCTTAGTAAGTCTGATCAGTTCAATAAGGTTAAATTGGCAGCAGATCTCAAAAGTAACCTAAAATCTGTTGTTTACCAGGGCAAGGAATGGTTTGTTAAATTTAACATTTCCAAAACGAAACTTCTCTCTATTAATCATCTGAGGGAACTCTTTTTGCCTTCCATCAGCATGGGTGATGCTAACCTCCAGGAGAGTGATTCATTGTACTTTCTCAGGCTAATGTTCTCTGATGACACGAAGTGGAAAGATTATATTGAATCAATTGCTAGGTTTGCTGCTAGGAAAGTTGGTACACTGTGTCATGCTAGACAATTTTTCTCTCCAGAATCTATGTTACATATTTATAAGCCAACTATTCATCCATGCTTCAGATATTGCTGCCACACATTGTCTGATGCATGTGCTATAGATTTAGAGATTCTTGATAAAATTCAATGCAATGTTATTGGTCTTGATCTGCAATCTCAGCTTCAGTCACTTTCCTTTAATGCAGCTTCTCTGTGCCTTTTCTATAAATACTTTCATAGTAATTGTTCTGATGAACTTTTCTCTATAGTACCTAGACTTTATGAATTTAAGCACAGTACTAGATTGGTGGCAAGGTCTCATTTTACAGTTGAATTGGTTAGATGTAGTTCTTTGCTAACAGTTTGTTTTATTACACTTTTCACTGTCAAAATCTCTTCCAGCTTCTTACTTTCCAGCCAACTTTGATCTTCAAAACTTTAAATGCAATATCAATCATTATCTACTGTCTTCTTAATTCTTTTTCTTTTATTGTTCTTACTCCTTAATAATATTTTTTCTTATTCTTTCACACTGAGTAACTCCTTGTTTCTTAGTGGCTTTATTGCCTTTGCATTGGGTGAAATGAATATATATATATATATATATATATATATATATATATATATATATATATATATATACATTAATATATCTTACTTATTATAAAACGCAGAGTGTGTGTGTGTGTGTGTCTGTAACGTTTATATATTGGATCGGATTTCCTACATTTTTCAACCAATTTCAACAAAACTTCACAGAACTACATAAAATTACCTTGTGGTGGTTCTAACAGCGCCAAAAATGGGAAAAAAATATAATTGTTTTTGCACAAAATCAATTTGAAAACACGAATAAGAGACATCGTGAAAATGGAAGGGGACAACTCACATCGGGTTGTTTGTGTGTGGTTCCTTTAAATATGGGAGCGGATTTCCTATATTTTTCAGCTGATAAAACAAAACTTCACTTTTTTTTTTTTTTTTGCAGGTAGTGTTTCTTATTCTCTTGCACACTTTTTTTCTTTATTTTTAACATTCAGAATGCTTTAAAAATTCCATTTACAGGACAATTTATAATAAAATTCTATTCAATCGGGAGACTCATAACGATTGAAAACAATGTTTTTGTTTGAGTTTGGGTTTGACCAATTAAAAAAAAAAAAAAAAAAAAAAAAAACTAATTAAGACATGTGTGTCCATCAAGCTTAAACAATAATCTAACGATCTCTACTGATTGTACGAATACAAACATTGGATAAATTCTTTATCTTTAGGGAAAGATAATGAAATCTAAACATACACAAGAAGTCCTAACTAAAAATAATATCCGGAACGGGAAACTACTTTAAATACACATGGTGTCCAATTTTTTTACTGTATTCAATAAGTAAAAATCATAAATTGTAAAAGATTATTATTACAGAAAGGCTACTAAATGAATAAGATTTGTTAGATCATAATTAATAAACCCAAATAAAGTTAATATTTTTTGTATTAGAAACAACGAGTGGAAAATATATTCAAATCAGAATTCTAATTATGAATCACCACAAGCAAAATATGCAATTTTTATTACTGTATTCAATAAGTAAAAATCATAAATTGTAAAACTAAAAGATTACAGAAAGGCTACCTACATTCTTCAACCGATTTCAACAAAACTTTTTTTTTTTTTTTTTGGCATGTAGTGTTTCTTATTGTCTTGCACACTTTTTTTCTTTTTTTTTTACATTCAGAATGCTTTAAAAATTCCATTTACAAGACAATTGTTTATAAAATTCTATTCAATCGGGAGACTCATAACGATTGAAAACAATGTTTTTGTTTGAGTTTGGGTTTGACCAATTCCTAAAAAAAAAAAAAACACTAATTATGACATGCGTGTCCGTCAACCTTAAACAATAATCTTTGTCAATTTTATTTTTCAGTCTTTATGATGGTGGATACTTGATCTATCTCTTACTGTTATATCCCCGGGCAACGCCGGGCTCTACTACTAGTATATTGATATATATATATCAATGTATTGTTTGTAGATGTAAATATTCTACAGAGAGATAGATACAAACACAATCTGAAGAGAGATAGATATAAATACACTCTGAAGAGAGATAGATATATACGAATGCACTCTGAATGCAACGTGAAGAGAGATATATACCAATGCAATGTGAAGAGAGATATGAATGCAATGTGAAGAGAGACAGATATGAATGCAATGTGAAGAGAGATAGATATGAATGCACTCTGCAGAGAGATAGATACGAATGCACTCTGCAGAGTGATAGATATGAATGCAGTGTGAAGAGAGATAGATATGAATGCAATGTGAAGAGAGATAGATACGAATGCAATGTGAAGAGAGATAGATACGAATACAATGGGAAAACAGATTGATGCAAACGAAGCGGGAAAACAGGCAGATGCGAGTGCAGTGGGAAGACAGGCAGATGCAAGTGCAGCAGGAAGACAGGTAGATGCAAGTGCAGCAGGAAGACAAGCAGATGCGAGTGCAGCTGGAAGACAGGCAGATGCAAGCATAATGGGAAGACAGGGAGTTTGATAGATATAGCTGACAAGGATAGTTATAGACAGAGACTCAAAAATATAAGCAAATTTAGTAGATAGATAAGCAAATAAAAAAAGTTATTTCTGGGTGTAAATATGCTGATACCTTTATAACTCATCTCGGTTGTAATAGAAATAATTGTTTTTTTTTCTTCTTTTTGAGGGGCTACTTTCTTTTTCTCTTTAGATCAGACTAATTTATCTCAAATCATTTTACTTGTAAACCATCTCTAGTCAGTAGTTTTTGCATGTTTTAATTTTTTAAGGAACAATCTGGAGCACCAGTTGCCTATATAACCATTTACCACTTTGATGCTTGCAGCCCATATCCCTTTTTCTCAGTAATCTGTCAGAAAAAAAGAAAAAGTTCACTTAAGGGTCTCTTGTCATGGTCCACCCACCAAGTCTCCATTTCCCTATGGCAGGTGGTAGTGACTCATCCTGTCAGATGTTTCTGTACTGAGATTTTCACTTTTGCCACCCAGTGGATTGCTTAATAGATGAAAACTTCTACTTGTAACAGCAAAGTTTGTTGATGCTTTCAAAAGAGAACTATTTTATCATTGTTTAATTATGTTCACGAATCACTTCTGTACATGTACAGGCTATTTAAACAAGGCCAACAATAAAGTAATCAAGTATAGCAACTAGGACTGAAACTAATTCTTGTTAAGCTTATGAACAGATAAAACTTTCTCTTGGCTTGTTTTTACAAATTCTTGTTAAATGGATGCTTTAATTTTTTTCCAATACTTGAATCAATGGCTTTACCAGGTGAGCCATGATAACCACTTCTTCACTCATTGTTCTTGAAAAGCACTCCAAAACTTCACTTATGTAGAATTATATATTAATTTTTAATAAAAGTTTCTGCAATGAAATTTAAGTCTTATTTTTTCTTCAATTCTAATGATAATCACTGTATTCATTTGTACACAATGTAAACTGCCATTTTTATATATAAAAATGTTTTGTGATGTCAATGAACACTCGTTGCCACTTTTGTAATGCCAGTGAATACTCGTTGTCACTTTTGTAATGTTCATTTTAGTAGAGACTTTGCAATCGCAGATATAACTATAGTATACCATTGAACAATACTGGTGTCAGACACATTCAAATAACACTCACACTAATAGTACTTGCTTGATAATACTCGCTCGAAAAGTAATCACTGTATTGTTCCGAGAAGAGAATAGAGAATAGCGGTCTGTATAGTAATAGAGTAGAAATGAAGATAAATTAGACACAGGCTATGGTCACGTGGCCTACTTAATTCAATAATGGGATCACCTATGTTTGCTCACTGGCAATCTATGTTCAAACTCAAGTGTTGGCAGCAACACTTTATTCCTATATAACAAAAAGCATGCATATATTTTCCTTTTAATGTGATTCCCATTTTATTATTTATAAAAGGTGTGAAATTGTCAGTTTTCATTTTTTAACATTATTTTATCATGAACATTGTTTTAGCAACCAGTTTAAATCTTGGATATCTTGAGCTGCTCAAGAGGTTGGTAATGAAGGTTTCTGCTATGAAAAAGTGTTCATTGGTCATAGGTATTGAGGAATGATTTTTTATTGATATAAGTAAACTTTATTGCTAAAATATTATACAGGAATCTCTTGATTAATGCGCAACCAATTAATGAGTTTTCAATTAGTGCGCTAAAATTTTTTTTATACTAAAATTTGATTAGTGCATACATAATACTCGATTAGTGTGGTAAAACATTCTTCAGTTTAACAATAGTAATTGAAAATTGATATTTTAATAGCTACTAATTAATTAAAATTTTTCTAAAATTTAAAAATTGAAAATGGGTAACTATTTTGTTTGTCAAGTATTACATTATTTAAATAATTACAGTAGTGCTAAAAAAAAAATGACAGTTATAAATAGATCAATTTTATAATATAAGCCAATAATAAAAATACATACATATTTGAATATTTGTCTCTAATAAAATTTTTTGAATATTTTGATATTTTCATGTTTATTTTGAAGGTTTTCAAAGGAAATTTCTGATTTTTTTTTAAATGGATGATTAAATTATATACAGAAACTTACATTTATTAAAAATATCAAAATATAAAAGACATATGCATTTACTATGGAAAGATTATAAATAAAATGTTCAGTTTAAAATACTAATGATTATGATGTTTGGAAAATTTCCCAAAATAGAAAATATATACATAAGGTTCTTTTTAACAAATTAAATTCAATTTTGTTTTTTTTTTGTTTTAGATTTTACCTACCTGCCAGCATAAGATGACAAAAAAGGAATTAGAAGAATTTTCATGGTTATTGGAGAATTTAAAGAAAAATGTTTAGAAGCAGACCCTGATGGAGACAGAAGCCAACAAATTTGCAGGGGCAATTTCTTAGTCCCACTATTTATATGAAAACCAGACGAATACTATGTGGTAAACCACTCTAAATAAGTTTTTCATAAAAAGTCAGATTAATAAACATTAACCCATACCATTTTTATTGTATCATGTTATATATAAACTGTGTCTAGAGATTATATGCAAAAGAGGTATTGTCAAATATTTTATGTTAAATTCATAGATATGTGTTATCCAATGAAATAATTTGTACTATTATGTATAGCAAGTAAGCATGAAAGCAATTAAGTCCCAATTTTCAATTTCAGATTGGTATTTAGTATTTTTTCAGTAATTATAGCAATTTGCAGTGTCAAGAGATTATTTGCAAAAACTAGAATTTAGTATTATGGCTCGTAAAAAAGAACTAACAATGAATGAAAAGAACTATATAATCAAAGAAATTAGCAAAGGAAAGTCTTCACTTCAAATTTCTAAGGATTTGAAAAGGGATCATCAAACAATCAAGAAAATATGTCAAATGGGAATTCAACCAAGGAAAAAAAAGTCTCAGGCTGAATTCAGGAATTTAACAAAGCGAGATCTATCACATATCCAAAGAGAATTAATAAGAAACCCAAATGCGTCAAGTGCGTTCATATTTGAGGCCACTGGAACTCCTATGGTGTCAAGGGAAACAAGGTGTACAGCATTAAGGAAGTTTGCTGATGTAAAAAATCAAATAAAGAAACCCATTTTAACAAAAAAACATAAGGAAAAAAGATTGCAGTGGGCAAAAAAATACATGAAAACTGTTTTCAGTAAAATGCTTTTTACAGACAAATCAAGGATCACCCTCGATGGGCCTGATGGATGGGCTCGAGGATGGGATTGCAAGCAACATGATTCAAGAAAATTTTTTAAACGCCAACAAGGCAGCGGTGGGATCATGATATGGGCTAGGATTATTGGTAATGAGCTCGTGGGTCCATTTAAACTGAAAGACGGGGTTAAAATGAATTCCAAAAGTTACTGTGATTTTCTAGAGCAATATTTCTTTGAATGGCTCGATAACCAGTCTTTAACCAAGCATAGATCTATGATCTTTATGCAAGACAATGCACCAAGTCATGCATCAAAGTTTACTAAATCCTGGTTGAAAGAAAAGGGATTTGTTGAAGATTCTCTTATGGACTGGCCTTCAAATAGTTGTGACTTGAATCCCATTGAGAACCTGTGGAGAATCCTCAAGAGAGATATTTATTATAATGGAAGGCAATTCAACAGCAAGTGTGACCTCTGGGAGGCAGTTAAAGTTGCTTCAAACAACTTACCAGCTGCTAAAATTGCAAATCTAACATCAGATGTTGACAATAGGCTGCTAAGAGTTATTGAAAAGAAAGGAGCATTTGTGCAATAAATTTTAGGAGGTTCTTATTATTTTTTGTTAATATATCTTTTATTTTTAAAATAAAATTTTTTTTTTTATGTTTTTCCTTTAAGAAATTGACGAATTTGTTCTAAAATCTTTTCATATTATTTTTTTTACATTAGTTTTACAAGGTATAATAATGTAAAAGTATCAAAATAAATAGTTGCAAATAAACTACTGACAGTCAAATTAGTCTGTTTTGTTAACTTAGTAAAATTTTTTTCAACCAAAAGCAATAGTTTTCTCTATCACTATATATCTAAGTTAATAATATTGAGTAGAATCTAAACAACATCATAATAGGACTTTTAACATTAAAGACGCAACTCTTTATACCAATTCATAACTTGCATATAATCTCTAGACGCAGTTTACTTATATTTTAATTAAAAAGTAAACAAATTAGAAATTAATTGTGAATGAGACTAAAATTTGAGGTACAAATTACATCATTTCCTGTAAGTTATATTCAATTAATGCTTTTCGATAAGTGTGTATCTTTTAATGTACACATTAGCCACACTAATTGAAGGATCCCTGTATTAATGCATAATGTGACAATGTTATTCTGGTTTAGATAGATAGATAGATAGATAGATAGATAGATATAGATAGATAGATAGATAGATAGATATGAATGTGATAGATAGGTAGAGGTGAATGTGATAGCTAGATAGATAATGTGACAGTGTCATCATGGTTTTTGATTCTGATAATAAATTTCAGGCATTGTATAAAGACAGTACATTATGTTCAAATGGACATAGTCAAGGAAGCTTAATTTATTCTGGTTTGGCTAATTTTGTACAATGAATTTTTTTATAGAGATTATTGTTGTAACCTAGGAGAGGGTAGTGAATGAGGAATAACCGAAATGGAGGTTAGAAATGAAATGGTAATCTTTATAGCATCAACAAAATACAATACTCGCCAGCAGCGTGAAGTAGGTAAACCACTACTAGTGGTGGACTACTTAGACACCATATTACCCCCATTTACAATAGTGTCCAACGCATTTATGAGAATTGGGACATAGTGTTTATATGTACGGTATATAACAATTATAAAACTTGAACCATTTTATTGAGAGTATTCTAGAATTAAAAGGAATGGATGTTCTATTTAATCAAATATTTCTGATAAATATATTAGTGAATAAGCAAGACATTTTTTATTATTATTACTGTTGTTAATGATATCTTGTATTTACTTAAATCTTCATTTTTTTTAGTTGTTTTCTAATAAGTTTACTCAAACCATCAATCTATCCAGTATTGAGAAAATGTGGATTGGAAATAAACGATAGGCTTTTGGTGATAATCAGAAGCAAATTCCTTTTCTTAGAGAAGCCTGGCTGAACACATCAACTGCTTCATCTGATGTAACTAAGAGTGCCTTATAACTTGCAGAAGATTAAATCCAACCTTAAACTCATCACTCCATTCCATGACTTCTCTCAGCACTATATTTGTAACAGTATTAGTTTTACTTTTTCTTACATGATGTATTACCAATCATTAACATATTTACTTTTATCTTATCATTGATAAGTAAATACTAATCAAAATTAATAATAATAATAATATTCAAACAATTCATCTAAGAAACAAGAATTTGGATATAAGTATTTACTTTAAATATAAGTATTTACTTTACATCATAATAATACATACAAGATTCTGTATATCTTGTTTTATTGTGATAGAAATATTATGACTATTTATTATATTAACTATTGTTCAAAAAATATTCTTCTGTATTCTAAAATATTTTTTAGGCTATCAAAAATTTTAAACAATTTTCTTTTCTTTTCTTCATGGTAAGCAGGAATAAATCTATAAAAGAATTCATATCTAAAAGTTTACAAATGTAATCACAATAAAGTTACATATTCCATTAGTTGCATAAATTGCATCATTGACTTTGTTCTTTCAATAAGAAAGTCAATAAAAACATCTATAAAAAGCTGAAAGTCACATGTCTGCCTCATTATGAACCAATCAGTAAATAGCAGATACAGAATCATATTTGGCAAAAAGATTATAAAAAACAAAACAAAACTAAAAATACCTTTAGAATTGAAGAGTGTCAAAAGCAAATAATTCATTGCTAGTGAAGTTATGCTTGTATAAAACAAAGAGTGACTTGGTTTTAGTTATAGAATCATGATTTTGCCAAAATCAATAAAGAAAAAATAAAATTTCAAGATGATAAAATTTGCAAGGTGGATTGGTATTTTGTTGAACAAGAAATTTCAGTTATGTAATTGGGATATATCCAGTTTCTTTCTATATTTACATCTTTTATTCTTTAATTTTATTCTTAACTTGTTCTATTATTTAATTATTTTGTGTATAGTATTCATATTTTTACTTTGTGGCTTTATCATTTAATTCTAATCATGTTCCATACAGATGACTAAGTATAATTAGTCACAAGAGTCACTGATTAAGTTTCTTTAAATTTACTTTTATCAAAGTTTATAGGCTAGAATATTTGATTGTATTCAGAATTTCTTGTAATCAGATATATTTTGCGACTAACTGTTTTAATCATTTATGTCTCCACCAGTTTTAAACACACTACTCATATGCACAGAATTTTATATGACTAATGAATTTTTTCAGATAAGTAAGTTTAGTATAAAGTATGATATATAGAATGTATAAGTATAAAGTATTAGATGGAGTAATGCTTGTAATAAAATAATAATAATAATAGTGAAAATGCTTAATCAGAAAATTGTAATAAAAAAAACTTTTTATACAATTTTCAGATTAAGCATTTTCCATGTTATTATTTTGTTACAAGCATTACTCCATTTTATTGTTGTTGCTTTCCATCACAACATTTTAGGTTGATCAACTCTTTGACTAAAGAAACAAACAGTATGAAAGTGGAAATAAAGATAGACATTCAAACAAGTTTTAAATTTGCATTGCACACCAGTGATATTCATCTTTCAAGAATGTCATTGTAATCATTCCAGCCTCAAAAGTATTAATGATTATGCAAAACACAAATATAGAGTTATTTTGTCATTACTTCTTTGACTTTTTTTACCATCTTTCATTGGCTATCTAGTAGTGTTGTTTGTTTAATTTTTAGATAAAGCATTTTTAGTATTATTTTTGTTAATGGAGAGAAAAAGGTTGTAAAATGAGCACAAATCTATACTCCATTTAATCATTAATGAAGGATCAATATTTATAATGCTTTTCCATTGAGGTGGAATGTGACAGTCATTTTTAGTATGAAATCAATGTGCTATTGCACAATGTTTACCACCTCTGGAAGAAGCTAAAAAGTGTTTAGTTCTCTTGACTCTACTTTGGCATGCCATAGGTATCAGGCAATAATACTGACCCTATCCCTTTTTGTGTAATTGAGGTATTGCTTGGAAGAATGGATCCCTTGGAATTAGATGATACAATTGTTGATCTTTGGTCATTCATGACCAAGGATCAAGAGCCAGTTTGATCTCTCAAATAGGGGTTCAATGGAGGATCAAGACTGTCTACCCAGAGACAGCATAACAATCTTTCCCTGTGATTGAACAGTTTCTATCTTAGACTTTCAGTTGTGTCATTTGTAATTTTTTTTTATTCTCTTTTTTTCTCCTGAAGCCATGTTATTTGACAAATGAGTATGATGCCAAACCAGGTAGTCAATTGTGTTTCATGCAGCAATATTTGAAAATCAAAGAGCAAAGCCTTGAATACAGTTTCAACCTGGTTTTCATCTTCTTTCTCTTTTCCTTTGTTGCATATCATTTCATGGATGTTTTCAATTTTAAAACTCCAGAAGTTATAAGATGTGTTTGGTTTCAATCTTACAGTGAAGGAAAAAATCAGTATAATCAGTTTAAATCTCTTAGCTAAAGAGAGAATCTGGCAACCAAGTGGCAAAGCCCTCCTGAGAAAAAAAAATCAGATTTTTATATCCTTGGACAGTTATACAAGACTTAATTTTTAAGGTTAGCAAGAAATCTCTCTGACAATCACCATCATGACTAATTCAAACCATAGATTTCAGTCAATTCTAATAATTAATACTTGACAGTATGAACAACTCAAATTAGTAGTTCTATGGTCCCAAACTCTTTCATCTTCATTTGATTTCTTACACTGCAATTTCATCAACACACAAATTCTATAGAAATGTCCCTAACTTAAATAAACACAGTTTCTGAGTGTTTTATCTTGAACCATACTATGAACTTCAGTACAGTTGTTGACACAGTGACTCAATCAAAGACATATTGTACATTTACATCTGGGATTCACAAAGTGGATGATACCATTATTCTGGGGACAACAGAAAGATCTGGGGGATGGCAGATGAGAAAAACTGGGAGTGGTGAGAGATTAAAAAAAAAAGAGGTGGTAGAGAGTGGCATTAGAACCTGATAATTTTTCTATTTTTTTACAAAATCTACATAACAAAACTGAAAGCACTTATAAGAAATAAAATTAAGATAAATGTTATACAGGGACGCATGGCTTTATTTTATTTCATTGTTCAAATTTAACCCATTGAACCCTGACCACCGCTTTACAGGTGGTAGAGAAAAATGATGTAATGCCCAGCCCCTGGTTGAATGGTGGGTAAACACTTGTAACTATTTTTATATCTACTGTGAAACATCACATACCAATTATTTATGAATTTTGACTCAGGAGCTCAGGCAGAAGGGTAAAAATTGTTCACCAATACAGGGCTTAAAGAGTTAAAAAATCTGAATGTTGTTTGTAGCTTACTGATATTATCTGGACAGGATGCACCACATACCAGCCAGATAACACAGCCAACATCTGCATCTCTAAATTTGTAGGTATAGTTATATAGCCACAGATGATTATCTGGCAACATCTTATCTAACAGCATCTAAACAAAACTTCAAAATGCATGTTTGCCTACAGTGTTAGATTAGTTTTTGTTTTGAATTTGCATTATACCAAATACCAAGAAAGAAGTGTCTCCATATGGGCATAGTAGGTAGGGTACTAGGAATGTGGCCTGAGAGCCAAGTGGGCAACAGCTAGAAATAGTTTGAGTTAACTAACTTATTTGTTAGTGACTAGTACATCATCCTCTACTAACAACAACTACATGTATATATTGCTACTCTTCTAATCCACACTTCATCATTAGTGACAATTTCAACTCCAACATCTTGGTGACCCTCACATTCTCTTTAATAATTCTTTTACTGACAATAGCAAGAAATCCATTATGCATTGTTTTTGTTCTGAAGAATCAGCTTAATAAACAACTACATGATGAGGTTTTATTCATGGAATGATTTAGTGATTTAAAAAAAAAAAAAAAACAGACAAAAAACCTGGATCTGTTGTGATATTTTTGTAATTCCATGACAATTGATTTGTTTCATTTGTTATTAAAAAAAATAGATATTTCTCTCTTTATTGATCAATTTAAATGTATGATATAGTGAATAATCTAATTTTTTTTAAAATTATGATAGTAAACTACAAGGTGGTGATAAAAAGTTCTCAATTTGACCATGAAGCCTTTAAAAACAAAACAAAAAAAAACAGTGGTTTCATCATTTGACCAGTTTTTAGGAATTATATTTGCAGCATTCTGTCATATAATGAAGTAAATTCCAGCTTTTATGTTTTGTATGTCATATCTATATTTCCATATTGGGGGTATATTTACAGTATTTTCCTTCTAAATATAATATGAAGTGGGGCATAGTTTTCTACCACTGATATTTTTATTTATTATGTTTTTGAAAGAAGTTATTCCAGCAAATATAAAACCAGAAAAATCAGAAAACAAGATTAATCTAATTCCAGATATTTTGGTGAGAGCATTTTTTTAAACAGATTATGTCATGTAGACATTATTAAGGATTTACTAATGAAAGAATAAATTCTTTTGAGAATTACTTTTTCCTTATTTTTATTCTTTTTTTACTTATTTGTTTTTCTTTATCGGCAAAAATCTTCTTTTCTTAAAAAACTCAAATTTTATTTTTATAGTCTGATTTTAATCATTATTTATCTTAATGATTCAGTCTTAAATTTTACTTTGAACTAATTTCATTGTGATAGCCATTTTGATTGTTGCTAAAGTAAAGGGATCACATCTATGCCACTAGTTGTAACAGGGTCATCAGTTTGTTATGGGTTACCTTTTTTTTATATAGCAATTATTAACTTTTGTTGAAAGGATACTATTGACTAATATTAGTTGATAGGATGTATATTTATGTGAGAGAGGGAGTCTAGTGATAGTATTGTGGTTGAATAAGATGTTTTCTTAAACAGGAAATAGGAATGAAGTTACAAATAATATGGTACACTTAACATTTTATTGCCTTAGCAAACTAAATAGGAAGATTATAAAAAGAGGTTATTAGAAGTGTGTATATAAAAATATTCTTTATATGTATGTGCATATAAAGTTCTATTATAGTTTGTTATATATAGATTTATCAGCTTAAGGCATTTGTATACTGTGTTATATTACACATGATTTGTTGGAGA